ATCTTATATGCCAATTTGATTCCGCTGGGCGTAAGTCTCTGAAAAATGTATAACAGTATGGGATTAATTCTATAAATTATTAAATATAATTAATTAAATAAACATTTTTTAACCCATTTTCTCTAACACCACTTACGCACACCGACCGGATTAGCGCAGTGTCTTAATACGAAACACTACTAATTTTTATTGTAAAAAATAGGTTGTCAATATATTCTTCTGAGCCTTAAAGAGGTTGATGTCGCATGATTGTTGCAATGTTGAATTTTTTCATCAACGTTGACCTTAATATTACTTCTGAGGTAGTTGAAGTGTTCAACGTTCTCCAAAGTGTTAGCCTGAATAAACACAAATATATTTTGTGAAGCTGGTATTGAAATAATTTATGTTTTGGCAATATTAATTTTCAGTCACAGCGTTTCGTAGCCCCAAGCATACGTTTCTAGGATTATTTGCCTTTATTTCTCAAAAGATTGATTATATAAGTATCTCTAAAATCTTGTGGTATTTCCCACTTCGATAAGATCTTGTTGAAAAATTTATAAAGCTTTGACATCGTTTTTTATTTCGTTTACCAGCGCTTTATATATCTATACTGGAATTTCGAACGCCGTGTCCGCCGGAATCCACTGCCTATCGACTCGGAATCGCCTTCCATACTGTAACAGTCTTCATGCATCTTGAGCAGGAAATACTAGTCAGACCCCGAAAATGTTATAGGATCCCCCTCAACCAGATTTAGCCCGCCGACCAAAGCGGTTTACCGGTGCGTGTTCTTTGCAATGCACTGCACCTAGTTGGGGCCACTGGCGCGTGATTGTAGTTGCCATAAAGACTAATAGATAAATGCCCATCTGCGAGAAAATGTAGAGGTACTATCTCTACTCTAAGACACACTACTACCTGTAGAACTCCTCTTAGTAGACCGCCACAATACGAAGCCAGACTAGGCAACGAGTATTCTTACTATCCTCGTGTACACCCATAAAGCGATTTGTGGCTTCAACCTCCAGTTCTGTCCCCACCATATCCACGGAGATTCAAACGCCTTCCGGCTTGTTTCATCGACGTGATCCGTGCGGGAGCGCTTGGAGTTCAGAATCAATCTCTGAATCCGATTTCATAGTCACGCTCTGCAGAACAGCACAACGAATTGCGTTTCACTGATTTCTGTTTTGTTTGTGTAATTCCAAATTTGTTGAATTTACCGACGAGCCTCTTTCTCAATACGATTTACTACTTGGATAAGAATCCTTTGCAAATGTTAAAATATACATTTAATCTCTATAAACATATGTCAAGCAAAAGGTAGCTTGATATATGTGAACTCCACTTAAATATATCAACGTAATAAAGTAACCACTCACATCGATGTGTAGTTATGTAGATCAAAATTAAATATTTTTACGATACCGGGCATGATATATCACCCTCAATGTAATAAAATCGACTTCAATTTATGTGGATTACGTGATTAAAATATTTTCATTGAATCGTGAAATTTGTGCGTGACATGAAGGGTCAAAACTCGATGGTTTCACAAAATATTTATTGCCCTTGCGACGATTTTTCTTGAATTAAAAATTTGCATATTAAGTACAAATTTTGGTTACTTGGTTAGTTAGATATTTCTAATCATTGTCAATCGATGGTATGTAAAGTACTACTTTAAGCTGTCGGCTGCGTTAATCACTGTGGTGAGCCACTTCAGAAGTTTCTTAGTCATGGATTTGACAGCAAGCGAATGTTTTCAGTAGATATTAATCTGTAGCGTTCCATAATATATTATTTAATATAATAATATAATAGTTTTCCTTATTACGGAAACAGATAACTTACTGTTAAGTTATCAAGCAGGAAAAAGTTGACCTATTAGAATGATACATCGCCAATAACAAAAGTCCGAAGTCCGGCTCTTCCTCTCAGACAATATAGAGCCAAATCTCTCCAAACGCGAATGCTAGCGGTTTTGCATGAAAATATTATAGATATTTTGAAAATACTCCAGAAGACCTCCACTCACCTTGCCGCTTCAGATGTAGACGTAAATCGAACCACATTGCAAACATGTTTAACATTTAAATAAGCCATTTAAATTCACACCAGTACAAAAAGTACAAGATATAAACTTAAAATTCGAATTTTGCAATATAATGCTGGATGGACATTTTTAAGATAACATATTTCAAAATATAATTTGAACAGATGAATCATTATTTACAACGTCTGCCTGGGGTGGTACTCAATAGAAAAAATACGCATTATTTGAGTTCAGAAAATAAAAAATCTGTTTTTGAAGTAAACAAGCAAAGGCGAAGATCCGTGAATAATTTTTTAATAATATTTTTTAATAATATTTTACCAACAAAATTTAACATCCGTACGGTATTTATATTTATACATAATAATATTCTCGAAGAGAGCATCCAAATTTAATTTGGCAACAAGATGGCGCTCCTTACCATAGAATTACAGCAATAATTCGTTTTCTAAACGAAAATTTCAGAGAGTGGATTGGACAAAACGGAACCATATCCTGGCCAACGAGGAACCCAGATTTGACTTCGATGGCCTTTTTTTGTTGGGCACATAGAAAGATATTTACAAAGATATACCGTCAACTCTTTTCGAAGTGCAGCAACGAGTTCGCGCACTACACTATCTGAATGAAACGAATTCAAATGCCATATACCATTTGGAAATAGCACATGCTACTTGTATTGTTCAAAACGACGGACATGTTAAAAAACTGATTTAATTAATTTTACATGTTAGTAATATGTATTAGTAGTTAGTGTTAATTTTTTTTTAATCATTTCACGTAGACATTTAAACGTAGAAACATTGTACAAAGAGTAATATTCTCTTTTTAATATGACTTGTTAACAATATTATAAAACAGTTGTGAACAACTTGATAAGGAGCTAATTCCCAGTTTCATACCTTAGTAATTTAAATCTCATACCCAGTTTTTAATTTTATCTGCCAACTAAGCCAAAACGGTAAGTCAGAGATCTGTACTATGTTATATAATTGAAATTGCTATTAAAGTAGCAGTAGTAGTAAAGTAGTGAGAAAAGAATCATTTTGCGAAACGTGGCAACACCACGTATTTTAAGAAAATATTTAAAATTTGATCATTGCCTAAAAAAAAGCATTATTTTCGTAAAAATAATAGATGTAAAAAAGTTTAAAAAGTCAATAAGCAACCCGACAATGATGGTTTAAACATAACCCGAATTCTGAAGATGATGATTAAGTTCGGAACGGTGCACCACAGACCCATACCCATTTTTTGAATTTGAATTTGTCTTTCAAAGGACTATCCAAAAATGCGATAAAATGTAAGGTACTCTATTTAAAAAAAATGTAACTTTGTTTTACTATCCTGTATATAAAAAAGTGACGATTAGCAAACTAAAAAAAATAAAGGTCATTTAAATAGACACAACTTTTGTATTTACTTTTTTTTTGTAATCCCTGTAGGTTTCGAGATAATGTATAAGCCCCTCTTAAATGGCCCACCCTGTACATCTTCTAGGACTACGTTGAAATAGTGCCGAAAAAATTGCATCACACCAAATGTGTGCCTGAAGGGAATGCTGAAAATATTTTGCTTCTCCGGCAATTATTGAAGCTCTCTCGTCGGTAAAAAGCTTCTTATTAAGAAAATGTTGGATCTCGATTGGAATATTTTGGAAAAATTAAGCAAATTCTAGGCGAGCTGGTACAGTTTGAGGCATTAACTGCTGAACCGTGGTATATCGATATGGATTACGTGTCCCTTTTTCAACAAATTTGGTAGATGTACAATTGACTTATCTCCGTCGCAGTACTTAAACGATGCTGCGGGTACTAAAACCTGGATTTTCCGAAACACGAATTATTTTTTTGAGGCGAAATGAGGCAAAATGATTCTGTTTCACCTAAACGGGTGCCACTCATTTGCTTTAACAAAAACTCAAATCATAATATGCATTTCAATATGAGAAAAATGTTTATGTAACAGCATTTTGTGATTAACACGAATGTAAACTCACTAAAATTTAATATAATCTAAATTGGACAAATGCTTACAAAAGCCTACTTAGAAGAAAATAGGTTTTTTTATTACTACTAGCACCATTTTTCGTCATTTACATATGTATAAAAAAAATAGAAAAAATACCTTGAACTTTAATGCCGTCTCACTCTTTTGAGTTGACGGCCTAAACAAAATTTTTGTCATGTTTCAATCACTATCATTATCTAATCATTATGGTGAAACTAACGCGCTATAGCAGTGACGTCCAAATTCATTATTTTGTCATGTCATGTCATTAAAAATTTTAATAAAATTGGAACTTTGACCGCTCTATATTTTCGACAAGAAAACTTTTGGTTAGTTGGGACATTAATATTTACAGAAACAAATACAATAACTTAAAACCAACTAATAATTTCACTAAAAAGAGAAAAAATGTTTAATGCTGTTGCTAAATATGCCACCAGCCAAGAATCACAAAACCGGCTGCGGGTGCCTGCAGGCTCATTGTTTTTTATTAATTATGAAACTTTATATTTTTATGGACATAATCCGAATGCAAAATACCATTTTCAGCGGCGGATCAGTTATGCCGAATACAGAACATCATAATATAGTGCCCCCCATACAAATCTCGTAAAATTTTACGTGTTTGGAAGCTTTAGTAGTATGGCCGAAGGCACCTTTCAGCATATTATAAAACCTTAAAGTTGGCGTAAAAGTTCACGACTTTCCTGCTTGTTACGTTTATGTTGCGTATAAAGTATTGGTACTAAAATATCTTGACATGTTTATTATTGACCGCTTGAAACACCAACAGAACAAATTAATGTACAGCTGGTATCGTAAAAAAGTGATACACGACTCTTAAAGCACCTTTTTTCAGTGTTTTGAGCAGTTTATTATAGGCCACCATGTCGTTGTCACTCAAACTTCATTGTTTTCATATTTTTAATACTGTCACTGTAACAAAAAAGATTCACAAAAACGTTAGAAAATAAAAAGGAGCCTAAAATGGCTCCACATATATACGAGTAGAGAGTTAAAAGAAAAATTGATCCAAATTAGAAAATAGTTGGTGCTCCTATTACCCCTAGCTTAACATTTTAATGTAAGCAAAACAAGCGTTTTTTTCATTATTAATAGGTGGAAACCAGAAAAAACATTTTAGGGGAAAAGGAAATCTAGCAGACAAACAATCACTTCAGTTCAAGAAAATCAGGCGCACTTTCGGATAGTTAAGGATAACCCTTTCCAAAGCGCGAAAAATGCAAGAATTCTGTAGAAATTTCCGGTCAGTAAAAACAAACTCAAGAGGAGCAGTTTTTGTTAATGTAAATGGGAGAGGAAAGGGAGTGTTATGGCGGATTGAGGAAAGATTTGTCGGTCAACCTTATGCCAAAATATTATAGAACGTGTGGAACAGCTTTACCTGAAAGATATTTATATTTTCCAGCAAGACAATTGTCCTGACCACACTTCAAAAATCATTACACAATGGCTCGAAAATTGCAACATTGAAACCTTGCCTTGGCCAAATATTAGTCCTGATAATGATGAAACGGCCGTATGGAAGCAACTTTATGCCTCAAAACAGCAAGGATCGATAGGAAGGAAGGAAGTATACGAATGATTGTCGCTTGAAGAATACTTCATATCTGTTTTCATGACCATGAGCCGAAGACTTCAAGCTGTGATTGATGCACATGGAGTTTGCAAAAATATTAAATCCCTTCCAAGTATTTCTTCTTGGGCCCCTCCTGTTCAGGATCAGGACATTCATATATATATATATATATATATATATATATATATATATATATATATATATATATATATATATATATATATATATATATATATATATATATATATAAATTTTAAATAAATAAGCTATTTTAATGACAAAATTTACGAAAACAACAAACAATAAATAATAAAATTTTACAAAATCGAGAAGACTCTAATGCCCACATAATAAAGCAAAATATACATTTTATGCAAGATATCTTCACAAATTTACCACAGAGAAGGTCTCTTATTGTTTACAATAATATCGTATTCAAACAAACATCAAAAGCTGATTAACGCAAGAGTTTTTAGTAATAAAATTAGATTTTTTAATACATTTTGTTGTAAGAGATGGATACACTTTTCTTGTAGTTATGAAGTGATGAGCAAGGGAAATGCAATAGAAATACGTGTTCCTACGCCATTGGCTGAAACAGTTGACGCAACAGCTAAACTGAACCATTCGAAATCCACAAGGAAAAAACATTCAATTGCCAATATGCGCAGTAACTCTCATTACTTAACATGTTTGCATCGCACATAAAGTGGACTTTTTTGTTCGTTCCTTTATCACATATTTGATTTGGTTGCGTCTTTCATAATTGTGATGTCTTTGTCAAAATAAGAAAAATGTTGATTTTAGAACAGAGAATACTTATAATCCAAAATGACAGACTCGTAGGGGTTACACTTCACTTATATACTCTGTGTATTTTTCTAATTGACGTCGGAATTTACAAAAATTCTTTATTTCTACCAGCAAATAGGACTTTCTTTTTATGACCTGTAAACTTTGTACTCGTTTCCTTAAGAAGAGTGGTTTTCATTAACCGATTGTAAAATTATCTTCATTTTCGTTATATCTTTACTTAGCCACACATCACTTTACACATCACTAGTGCACACAATTTGTTTAAATTTATTTACTTAACTTTGCACAATCACACAATAAGAATTTTCTCTCTCTGGGTATTTTTGCATTATAAATATGCTCTCTTCTAAAATCAACATATTTTAATAAATACTTCACAATAATCAAATAAGCAATCAAATAGTATATTATGCAACAAGTGGTAAACGGCAACTTAAAAAGTTTACCAAACGTGTTGCGTACTATACTTTTTTTACGACCGTTAATTTGTGGATACATTTTTGCAAAACAACACGAATACATTCGCTAACAAGACCATCAGAATTGACAAACGTCAAAACTTAACTCGTTGATAATACTTCCGAAAACATCCGATTGCTCCCAAACCATTGTGCTAATCTCCCGGAAATATCCGAAGTGGTTCGCAGCCTTTAGAAATGAAACTGATGTCCCAAAATGACACTTTTCGCAAGCTAGATCGGTGTATAATTGCGTATTTTACAGAATTGAGTAGAAAATAGTAAATTATGCAACAAGTGCGGTAAACGGCATTTGATTAAAAAGTTTACCGAACGTGTTGCATACTATACGTTTTCTGCGACCGTTAGTTTTTGGGTACATTTTTGCAAAGCAACACGAATTCATTCATTGACATGACCGTCAGAATTGACAAACGTCAAAACTCAAAGCGTAGGAAATATCTCCGAAAACATGCGACTGCTCCCAAACCCGTGCGGTAAAATCCCGGAAATGTCCGAAGTGACGCTTCCCGCATGCTAGATCAGTGGGTAATTATGTAATTTACAGACGGGAGTAGAAAAACATATTTTCCCGCTCCTTACTGTCAAACTCCAAATTTGGTTAGTATGAGCATTCAGTTTTCTTATTTTAAATGGAAGACGCTGTGATGTATTTAATTTTTTCGCATTTATTAACAAAATGCATGGCACGTTCCTTCAAGTTTTCCTGTAATGAATCTCAATCCTAAATATCTTCATTGATTGAATTTTTCTTTAATTTGACATTATTTTGAACAATGCGCGTTTTAACGAATTTTAATTCCTGATAACCATTTGTATGGTAAAGTGGAAAACCCAGTCCTTTCGGAACTGGTAATCTAAATTGATTTATTTATTTATTTATATATGTGGTGCCTCAAATCTATCAAACCAATTACATCATTCTAATCCCTACTAATCCTAATTCGGCCGTCAAATTTCAACATCTATTGATTATGCCTACCCCATTTACCTATTTTCAACGGGCTTTTTGCTATTTCAAATTTTCTATTAAAAGTCAATCAGCCTCCAAGGTTCTTTTTATTTAGAGTTAAGGGTTAAAGAACTATGGACCTGGCCATAGTCCGTGTCTGTATAATAGGACCAGTGTATCCTTTCTCGAACTGTACAAAATTAAGATGTATTATTAGATTACGTTGACGATGCCTTAACTACTTTAAATCCAAACGCATATAGATAGTTCCTTGAGCGGGTAATACTAGATGTTTGAACAAAAATTGTATCCTTTACCTTCATTTTGTATACCTTCTTTCTTGTGATACATATTTATTTTTATGTTTCACTAATTGCTACATTCTAAACTCATTTTTTTTGTCCCCTAACTCCTTTGACAGAAATAAAACCAGGAGCATGTCGAACTTTGTCAAAATCAATGCCAACTAGAAAGAAAGTTGGATTTTGATTAAATATTCATAGAAAATATTTAATAACAAGATCACAATATGTTACTATTTCCGCTCACTTAAAACTTATAACCAGCCAACAAATACTTTGCAGTTATGAGCAATTTCAGATTAACTCTAATACTTTTATTACGTCTTCACTTGGCAATGGCTGGATTACATACAAAACACCCTATTTACTTATTCTGTCAATTTCTGAGGCTGCTACTAACGCAATTTACCAGCACTATACTTATATCATATCCACATTGATACTCATGTCTTACTCGTGGCATTTCAACGCACCACCTCCCGATGTGCCTAGTATCCTGACTAGACTCTAGACAAAATTATTGGATCATGATGCATTCGGAACGACAAGCACACGTAACGTTATTTGACTAGTAGGCCACATAATGTATGTGTTGTATTTTTAATATCGCTCCCCTACAAGGGCTATAAACAGTTTAATAACGTTGAAGCAATTAATAATTTTTAAAACAGCATTAACCATGTAGACTACCAATGGGTGAAAGTACTAAAAATCTACACTATGCGCACAACAATTAAAAATTAACGATATAGTGTCTATACGTCAACCATATCTCGGTGAACTACAAAACAAAAACAGGTACTTTTACAATCAATACAAGTAGGAAATGACGCGCCTGCTACAGTGTTTATCTACCGGAATAATTATGGAAATAATTAAAAATTAGAAATAATTATGAATAAATCTAACAACGACATTTTCGTTCTACTGGAAGAAATACGTAAGTAAAACTATTATTATTTCAACAAATGACTGGTATCAAAGTAGATAACATAGGGATAAAGACAGAACTTGAGAAACAAAATACAAAAGTCGTAGAATTACTAAAGCTAGTTGATTCTTTGGAAATAGAAAATGCAGACTGACAACTAAAATATCTAAACTCGAACGAAAATTTAAAAAGAATATTCTTATGGCCTTAAGGAAAAACCAAGATCAGTTCAAAAGTGTTGTGAGCATTATTTCGTATACACTAGATATAAACATCGCGAAAGAAGATATTAGCGGACACATAACTTGTTGAAAAACCAACTTGAGATAAACCAGGAGTAATATTCGAATGGGTACTACAAAAAAAAAAGAAATTCAAAAAAGCTTAAGGACACAAGATATATGATAACAAGTGACCTTATTCCTGAGTTAAGAGCCAAACAAAGAATATTGGTCAGACACCTTAAGGAAGCTAGTGCACTAAACAATACTTCAAATATTTCAAGAAATAAGCCCATAGTGAATCGAGAGTTATATACGGTCGCTGAATTTGAAAAATCCCTCATATAACGTTACCAAATTTGTTCTTAAGAAATTGAAGTTGAAGCTCCAAGTGCTATAAAGGTCTTAGGATAACCTGAAAATAATGGCGCCAAAGACCCTACGACGCAGTCACCGTCAGCAGTACAAGAAACAGAATAAATTCTACTAAGAAGTCCACTGAACCTGGTAATTTTCCGCCTACCAAGAAACCTAAGAATAAATAAATAAATTTCTTATTATTTTGCTTTTTCGTTATTTATATTTTTGTGTTATATTGTATCATGGTCAAAGTTTCAATTTTTTTCTTTTTTTACATTCAAAAAATTAACTCTTTCATTAAGGATATTGGGGAAGATCGTGTTCCCACTCATTTAGTTAATAACTTGCAAATATTAAATCAACTAAATGATATAAGTTTTAAAATAATTCATTTAAATGTATGTAGCATAAGTAAAAACTTTATAGTTTTGTATGTTTTTTAAAACAAATTTCTAAAGATATAGAGATCATTGTTCTCTCTGAGATGCATAAGCTGTATTACTTAGACATATTTCAAATGTTCTTATTTATAATGAAGGAACTTTTAATAGCTGCGATAAACTGGTAGTATTTGTGAAGGAAACCAAAGGGATATGATACTACTTTAAATACTACTTTATATATTACTTTTAATACTTTAAACACTACTATACATACAGTGGTTCGACGGACACTGCACTATATTGTTAAAAGCTTCGGAGACAGAAATTTCAGAAATGTTAAAAATTACGTTCCTCATTCCTCAAATCACATTATAAAAAATACACAAACTTATATATGATCTGAGAAATACAGATTGAATAGATGTTTTTGATGAAAGAGATTTAAATTCGTCTACATCAAAATTTATAGAAAAGTTAAAACTCTTGATAAAACAAAACACACGAACTATTAAATTAATAAACACCAATAATAAAAAAAAAACAGATGGATAACAAAAGCACTTCTCCAAAAAAATAAATTATAAAATGAACTTTATTACCAGTGGCAAAATTCTACTCAAAAGAATGACTTAAAAGAAATATATTTGAAAACTAAAAACGTGCTGGCAAAAGATATT